GTAAGACCGGCGAGAAGTGACGGCATATATATGAATAATTGCAGATTGCAGAGTTAGAAACAGATAATCGAGTCAAGTCGTAAGTAAAGTGCGTGAATCGTTTGTTGTGAATTATAGCGTGTGTTGAAGTTAATATGACTGTGGAAATTAAGTGTATTGCAAAGTTGAATTTAGAAAGAATAAACTAGTTTTATTTAAGAAAAGACTTGTATCACTGAAGTTTCTCGGGGAGAATTTTTACGGGAATTTATCAAACGGACAGAGACGTAACAATATATATTGCCCAACTGAGGCCTAGAACTTTTTACAAACTACGAGACGTTATGATGTAATAATACTCACTTAAGGCAACAAGAAAAATTCAGAAGGTTCGAGTAACATGATGTCAATTCACAACAAAGAATTCGTAAACAGTTACGTAAGCAAACTTGCCATAACTATCATTTATAAAAATAACTAACTTTAATGCTCACACAATATAAACTAAATAATACTCTTGTATTCAATTTAAAATGAACAACTGTGTATATCTTACAAAAGCCATCCCCCGGTGGGCCAGAGGTAAGTTTATAAACGTATCATTCTAAAATCCTGCTTTCGATTGCCCCACAGTGGACACAACAGCTACTCCAATGTGGCTTTGCATTAAAACAAACAAACAAAATCTAAAGCTACAATTTACTGTGTGATACCATTGTGTCACCAAATCTCATTCTGCCGAAATCCTGTGGAGTTGACAGTATTGCTAATGCATGTGATGTAAAAGAGATCATTGCCAATATTCTGGTAAAATCCTACTAATAAGTGCATGATGAACAAGATACTTTTGACAATGTTATTGCTATTTTTATCTTACGTAGTCTTTCCTTCTGTCTCTTTTAGAAGAAACCCAATTCAACAGATTAACCCATTTTTGTTATGTTGGGAGAAAAATAATAGTGAAATACGGATAAAACCCATAATAAAATCAATTCTGGAATTACCTGGATTATTTCAGTTAAAAATATTAATGAAACTGTATTACTCATATCACCATCGTCATTGTTACGGGATCATTTACAATTTATTGAAACTAGGATAGTAACTGAAGATGAGACAGCATTTAAGTAAATCCATAAATGTAATGAACAATTTAAATTTCACGACTGGCATTACACTACAGAGGAGGTTAATTTTTGATGTGTTGATTGGCAATATATTCAACTGTAAAATATATACTTTTTACAATAAAAATAGCAACGTTATGATAGGAATTGTCGAAATAAAGTTTTAAAATCACATAAAATAACTATCTGGGTTGATTACAAACTAAAAGACAACAACAAAGGATAAGTTGTCGATACTTTATGTTGTTGTGAGCTGTATTTTCAATGTTTCAATTTATATATTAGAGGGCGCTCGACGTTAAAGTAGGTCTAGAATAGCTAGAATACTCTAGATGACGTTACGAAAATGTACTAACTTGAAAGAATATATATAGAAATGAGACATCAGATATAAATACGAGTTGGGTCAGTCAGTTGAAGCCAGCAGTGAGTCAGTGTTTAGTTTACAGTTGGTAGTATCAATCACTAAGTGAAGTATTTGGATCACCATTAGTTATAGCAGATATTCAGCTACTCCATCAATTATCCGTGAAATTTTACAAGCGAGTTTATTTTTACAATAGTCGTAGTACCGTTAATGAGGTATTTCAGTTTGAACGTTATTTGTAAACTTAGGCCTTCAAGTTACAACAATGTACAGGCTTGTAGAAACGTTAAGGAAGAAATAAACTAATTTGTTGTTGTTACGTTGACTAGACTTCAAATTATTTTCACCAAATAATTTTCAACAACCCACCTAACGAAAGAGCAACGTTACAACAACATAGTATCTCTTAAGTTTCTATCAGAGTAGCCAGTCCTTCTATAAAACTTAAAGACATTTATCTGAATAAATGTTAGTTTCCAGAGCTAAAAAACTGTGATTACCTTCTATATCTGTTTTCTGGGACTATAAAAATTCTTATAATTAAATATTTGTTTCATTTTCCAGGTCCCTGTCAAACCTGTATCATACAAAAGTACGGATTTTGAATATTTTGTTTCTAACGGAAATGACAGTGAAAATTATGCGCCCACACCATATGATTCCATCAAGGCAAGTTATTAGTTTTATATCTTTAAATTGTTTGACATAGAAAAAGTCAAAACAGATCTGAATTATTTAATCATTTACCGAAACATTCATAAAATACAATAACTTGAACATAATTTGGATTTGCTTTAATTGGCAATTTTTTGATGTCTTATTAAATTCTATGAAATAATGGTGTTGATGGACATTAGAGTTTTTTTTTAACAAATTACTCTGGTTTTCTTTCATCTTGCTTCTTTTTTGGAATGTGTGTGTATTTTGTCTAAGTTTCAGATTGTCATACAGATAATAAAGACGGTGCAGTTTTAAAGCTTGTTTATTACTGTATTAGGAAATATATAAGCCATATATGTTATTATCCATTTGTGCAAAAAAAAAAGTTTTAATAACATAAGAAAGACCTTTAACCAGCTTGATTTGGCATGCATATACAAAAGTTACAAAAACACACTGTTACGACAGCGGAAGTCACGTGACCCTAGTAACACGTGATGAGTATCTAGAAGATTCATGAAGAGACGAGATGTACGCTTTTATAGTATATATATATAAGACCGGCAAGAACTGACAGGATAGATAATTGTAGACAGGCAGAGACAGACAATTGAGTCAATTACCGTAAGTAAAGTGCGTGAATCGTTGTGAATTATAGCGCGTATTTAATTTAAAGTAACTGTGGAAATTAAGTGTATTGCAAAGTT